AGGCAACCTAGACTGACAGGCAGGCAAAGCGAAAATGGAGACAGGGGGAAAAAGAGAGAAAGAGAGAGAGAGAAAACAAAACAAAAAAGAGAGGGACGAAGAAAAACATAGGGAAAGACCTTAGTCTCGTAATTTCCCCACGCGCCCCTCCCGCCACACAGAGCCGATGAGACCATCAAGCTCGGGCGGACAAAACAAACAAAGGGAGAGACCCTAATTTGGCGAATTCCCCACGCGCCCCCCCCCACCCGACCAGAGCCGACGAAAACACCAAACTAAGGCGGAGCCGTCGGCAAACCTGTCCCGCGGGGCCCTGGCGGCCGCGTGGAAAACGACCATGAGACGCACACGCACACACAAACGCACACACACACACACACACACACATACACGCACGCATACGCCGACGCACCCGACTTAGACAGACAAGCAGGCAGGCAAAAGGGAGACAGGCAGACTAGCCTCAAAGACAGACAGGCAAAGCGAAAACGGAGAGAGGGGGGAACGAGAGAGGGAGAACAAAAATACGAGGGGAAATGTAAACAAAAACGGGGGAAACTCTAATTTAGCGATTTCCCCACGCGTCCCTACCGCCACACAAAGCCGACGAAAACACCAAACTAGGGCGGAGCGGTTGGAAAACGTGGCCCGCGGGGCCCCGGCGGCCGCGTAGAAAACTACCATCAGACGCACACGCACGCACACGCACAAATACGCTGATGTACCCGACACAGACAGACATGCATGCTGGAAGAAGGGAGACAGGCAGGCTAGACTGACAGACAGGCAAAGCGAAAACGGAGAGCGGGAGGGGGAGAGAAAGAGAGAGCACAATAACAAGTGAAGAAAAGAAAGAAGGACATGGACAACAACAAAGGGAGAGACCCTAATTTGGTGATTTCCCACGCCCCCCCCCCCTGTCACACAAAGCCGACGAAACCACCGAACTAGCGCGGAGCGGTCTGAAAGCCTTGCCCGCGGGGCCTTGGCGGACGCGTTCAAAACGGCCATGCGACGCACACGCACACACGCACACACATGCACACATGCACACACAAACACACACACACACACGCACGCACGCACGCACGCACGCACGCACGCACGCATACGCTGACGCACTGGACAGAGGCAAACAGGCAGGCAGGCAAAAGGGAGACAGGCAGACTGGACGGACAGACAAGCAAAGCGAAAACGGAGAGAGGGTTACTCCGCAACCACTGCAAGCTCCAGGCCCCGAGCGGACCAGGGACTGAAGAGCAGGGACGAAAGGAGCGGCGACGAGGTCCCCGCAACCGCAAAGGCACCGAAAACGGCCACCGCCCGACGAGGCGCGCCCTCTACCGCGCAGCCCCACGAGTACCGTGAGGGAACCTCTCGGGGTCCGCAGCTGGGGCGGCCAAAACCCGCCCCCAAAACGGCACGGCACAACGGCACGGCACGGCACCAGAAGACCAGCGTTCCGAGCCGACCGGCGGCGCAGTGTGGGCGCCAACGGTCCAGCTCAGGAGTCGGGCGCAGGAGGCCCTTCAAAAAAAAAGAGTGAGAGAACAAAAAAAAGGAGAGGGAAGAAGGAAAACACAGGGAGAGACCGTAATTCGGTGATTTCCCCACGCGCCCCCCCCCTCCCGTCCCACCAAAGTAGGGTGGAGCGATCGGAAAACCTTGCCCGCGAGGACCCCAGCGGCCGCGTAGAAAACGACCATGGGACGCCCGCGCACACACACACACACACATACACACATACACACACACACACACACGCACGCACACACAACACACACACACACGCACGTACGCACGCACGCACGCACGCACACACACACCACACACACACACCACACACACCACACACACCACACACACCACACACACCACACACACACACACCACACACCACACACACCACACGCACCACACGCACCACACACACACACGCACACACGCACACACACACACACACGCACACACGCACACATTCGCTGACGCACCCGACGCAGACAAAAAGACAGGCAGGCAAAAGGGAGACAGGCAGATTGGATGGACAGAGACGCAAAGCGAAAACGGCGAGAGGAGGGGGAGAGCGAGAGAGAGAGAGAGAGCGATAAAGAGAGAGAGAGAGACAACACAAAAAACAAAAAAGACAGAGAGAAAGAGAGAGAGAGAGAGAACAAAAAACAACAACAACAACAACAACAACAACAACAACAACAACAACAACAACAACAACAACAACAAATGGGGGCAAGACAAAGAACAACTAAGGGAGAGACCCTAGTTTGGTGATTCCCCCCACACGCGCTCCCCCCGCCGCCACACAAAGCCGACGAAATCACCGAACTAGGGCAGAGCGGTCGAAAAACCTGGCCCGCGGGGCCCCCCGGCGGCCCCAGGCCGCCGCACGCACGTGGCACCCAGGGTCTCGTGAGTGGTGTCTGTTCCTTTGGGCATTCCAGGACCCGCCTGAGTTTCCCGGGGGGGGGCCCCAGAGCGGTGCAGAAGCTCCTCGAGGGCCTCGCGACGGTCCCAGGAAGCCCCCAGGCTCCCCCAGGCAGTGTCCTCCCCCCTGCTGCTCCTGCTTTTCCTGCTCCTGCTCCTCCTGCTCCTCCTCCTCCCACTGCTTCTCCCCCCCTCCTCCTCGTCTTCGTCTCCCCCCTGGACTCTTCCCCAAGCCCCTGCGCCATTGCAACACACCGCCCTCTCATGGGGAACCCCACCCGAGCCGAACACCAGGCACTCGAAGAACCCTCCGAAACATTTTTCCAGCCACGGAAATCCCACCCAGCACGCTTCCCATGGGGCTACCCCAGCACACCTTTCCATTTCCGTTTCCAATGCTCGGCCTTTCCGTTTCCCGTGTTCGGTCTCTCCGTTTCCAAAGTTAGGAACAGTCTTTCCAAGGTTGGGGAACAGCCTTTCCAGGGCTGGCGAGTGCTCAGGCTTCCAAGGTAGGGACCTAGTGCATCGGGTTGGGACTTTAACCTGCGGCTCGAGAGCTCATAGGGCTCGCAGGACTTATGAGGCTCACAGGCTTATGAGCACGGTCGCTAATGAGATCCTGGGGGGGGGGGGGTCTGGGAGGCCCCTTGGAGGGCACACGAGGTTATGGGGCTCAGAGGGATCGCAGGGATGATAAGTCTCGGAGGGGTCGAAGGCTTATCAGTTCATCCCAATCATGGGGCTCGCAGTGGTTGGAAGGCGCATTTCCGCCATCGTGTTTTTTGTCTCTCTCTCTCTCTCTCTCTCTCTCTTCTCTTGTTCCTGACAACGTAATACCTCCAAAAAGTGCCCTCACAAGCTCAGGCGCCGCGCCTTATCTGGCAACGTAATGCCTCCCAAAAGTGTCCTCACAGGCTCAGGCGCCGCGCCTTATCCGGCAACGCAATGCCTCCAAAAAGTGTCCTCGCAAGCTCAGGCGCCGCGCCTTATCTGGCAACGTAATGCCTCCAAGAAGTGTCATCGCAGGCTCAGGCGCCGCGCCTTATTTGGCAACGCAATGCCTCCAAAAAGTGTCCTCACAGGCTCAGGTGGGTCCCATTGCGGACAACCTTCTGAGTAGCGGCCAAAGATAACAAATAGCACCTTCGGGCACACGCTGCGGCGCAGCCCTGCTGTGGTGAAGCGCGCAGTTTTTCACGACGCTTCGGGGGGCGGAGGCGGAGAGGAAGGGAAAAAACGCGCGGGAGAGGAGTCGGGACAAAAGCGTTGTGTGGGCACCCCGTATGACCAGGCTGGTTATTTGTATAATGCGCGCAACGGAAACCAAGACGCAGGCCGATACGAATTCTCCCAACATCGTATCAATGGAGCCAGGGGGCCGGGAAGACCGGAGGGCAAACAGAAACGTCAAAACGGCACACAGGACTGCGGGAGCAGTGAGTATTGGCTGAATGAAATAACGTAACTTGCAACATGCACGAGGAGGGCGGGAGGGAACAACGGAGAGGGGGAGGGGCACGGAGGGAGGAAGGGGGAGGGACCCTGACGTACCACCAAAATCATGGCGATCGTGCTATTCCCGCCACGCTCCAGAAACTATTGCAGCCAATGGCGGGTGAGCCGAACAAGCGTCTCGACCATACTGCCACCAAGCTCCCGCCGCGTCCGCGGTAGCGCTATGCCGGGCGGCGCAGGAAGCAGCGTATGTACAATATGCTGCCAGGGCTCGGCGGGCTAACACCAGAGCCGCGCTCTCACAGAACGCCGGCTCCAGAGCCACGAAACACGACAGCCGTTCCTCGAACGCGGGACGAGATAGCCGCAAACGCCTGTAGTTCAGCCCCGCTACGGAGGGGCATAATGCATAATGTACAAGGCTGTCTTCGCCGCGCGCGCAACCGAACGGGCACGGAACCCACCGTCCATAACGGCGAGTTGTCGTCCAGCTGTCGCACAGCGCCCTGTAGAGAGAAACCCACGCCCTGGGAGGCACATGCGGCGCGAGGCCGCGAAGCACCTGCAGCGCCCGCGGCGTGCGGCGGTTGGGGGCGAGGTGGAAGGGGAGGCGGGGAAGGGAGCGAGAAAGCTCACGGGTGGAACTCAGCTGGCTGGCCGCGTCAGCAGCTGATGGCACCGCTGTTGCCATTGCCCCCGAGGCGCAGGCTCACTGGATGATCCCTGGACCAACCGGGCGACTGAGAGGCCTGCCGCCGCCGCGCAGGACTCGAGGCTGGCCTGGGCCGCATGGAGGTTCAGGATGAAGTTGTTCTCGTACCAGTAGGACCACGTACCCAAGTGCACGACCTTGCTCGACGCGCCGATCGTCTCTTGCAGTGTGCGACGCCGGCGTGGGATCCGCAAGCCGCCGCTGGCGTCGGCCTCCCAACGGTGCACCCGGCATTTGGCCGCCAGGGCTATTGCGGTGGCGTCGGGGAGCTGCGCTGGGAACCCCAGGGATCGAAGGTCCCGCAGGGCGGCAGGCGACGTCCAGTTGCGCGGCCCCGGAAAGAGCAACACGCACGCCTTCTGCTCGCAGTCGTTTCATGACGAAGGCAGGCGGTCCAATTGCATGAGGAAGCACAGAGCGGAGAATATGTACACGCGGTACGCAAGCATGGTGATGCACATGCCACCCCCTATTGCTCTCCACGTGCGCGCTGGTGCGATGTACTTCTCCAGCGGCTTGGTCCAAGACATTTCCCCGCGCCCAGGCCCCACCTTGAAGCCGAGGTAAGCGGCGTGCCGGCGCACGGCGAACTCTCCGCAAGTCGGTGCAGCAGCGCCCGGGCCACAGCCGTGGGAACCAGCGAGAGAGGGACCCAGACAGTCTTCCCCCGGTGCAGCCGAAGCCCCGCTAGCCGCTCGTACTCGTCGAAGGCGCGCTCGAAGACAGGTGCGTCCCTGGTGCCGTGGGCGAGGGCCATGGCGAGGTCGTCTGCGTAAGCCCGCTGGAGGGACTCTGGGACCAACCAATCGAGGGAGACGACGTAGCAAGACGTCCGAGATCACAGCAAAAAGCAAAGGTGAAAGAGGGCAGCCCTGCCGGACCCCCGCGGTCAGCTCGAAACCGTCGAACTTGGCGCCCTGGGCACGGAGTGAGCGTGTCCTCAGGTCCTTTGCCTCATCCCCTGAGCCTCAGTCCTCACTCCTAAAGAATCTTTAAGGGGCCCAAGCCCCAACTCTCAGAGTGCATCGCGTCGGATCAGCGGAGCGCCGCTCCGCCAATTGGCCCCGAAGCATGCGAGCCGACTCCCGGAGTGCTCCGCGTGGGATTAGCGGAGCGCCGCTCCGCGAATTGGCCTCAAAGCATGCGCGCCGATTCCCGGAGTGCATCGCGTCGGAACTGCCTCCAAGAGGCCCCCGAGAGGCCTCCCACGAGACCCCAACGAACATCCAACGATATCCAATAGGCTCAAAACCTCAGAAACACCCGAGAGGCCCCCCGAGAGGCCTGCCACACAAGATCAAAACCTCAGAGCCGAACGACGGCAACGCCAAAACGTCCCAGTCTGAAGAGAAGAACGGCATCCACCCGAGCGCCAGGACAGAGGCTGGGGCCCCGCCAAGGAGCCTCTGGGCCTCCAGCACCTGGCTCCGTGAGCAGATCACGGAATCGTTTACGCGACACGTCTCGAGCACACTCGGGGGGGTGCTAAAGGTGCGCCAGAGGCCTCGGGACGAGGACTAACAGAAGCGGGCACAACCAGCCCCGACGCCTCGTTTTTCCCAATACGGGGTCCGCAGAACTCCCGACCCTTTTCCCAGGGCAGTCTTTTCATCCCGAATCGTTCTTTGACGGTCCTGGGGCCTGGCGAGGGCCCCTGGAGGGCGAAAACGGCGACAAAAACTCGGGTCGCGATGCGTGGATGTCTGGGGGAGCTGATGGGAGCAGGATCCCACTGCCCATGGAGGAGCCCCCACACTCACACCAGAGGGGTCAGCGTCCTGCTCGGGGAGGCCCTGGGCAACGCCTGCAGGCCTCGGTGGCTCGAATCTGCCAGTGGGGCGTTCGGCAGAGACCGAGATCGAGCGGGCGCTCGATGAAGACGGTCACGCCGAGGAGCACTACTCAGAAGCGGCAGCAGGCGCGGCAGGAGGGTCGGGGATCGCTCTAAAGGTGCCACTGGGCCAGTTGCCCCCCCGCTCGTCGCTCCATTCTGGAGCCCCGGGGACCCTCTGGGTCTCGTGCGGGGCTCTTCTCTTGGAGGCCGCGGGGGCCTCCTTGGGCATCCTGGGGGCACCTCGGGCCAGGGGCACTCCTAGCAACACCCGACAACTCGCCATCGCTCGGACGTCTATTCCCTGTGTTTTCTTCAGTTTCGTGCGTGTTTTTTTCGCCAAATGATCAAGGATGCTCCTCGATGGTCCTCGTCGAAGGAAAAATGCACACGTCCAAGCGATGCCAAGGACAGGGGAAGCAGGGGACGGCCGCCCTGTCGCGCTTCAGCTCCTCCACCGCGTCCCAGAGGCCGCGCTGGACGGCGGCGGCGCCCTCTGCCGGCCGGGCCGCGCGCGGGAGGGCGCGGGGATATGCACTGCGTGTGGCGCCACCTCCTCCCCCCTCCTCCTCCTCCTCCTCCTCCTCCTCCTCCCTCCTCCCCTCCGCCCCTCCTCCCCTTTCCTCTCCTCCTCTCCTCCTTCCTCCTCCTCCCTTCCCTCCTCCTCCTTCTCTTCCTCCTTCCCTCTCCTCCTCCTCCTCTCTTCCTCCTCCTCCTCCCCTCCTCCTCTCTCTCCTCCTCCTCCTCCTCCTCTCCTCCTCCTCCTCCTCCTCCTCCTCTCCCTCCTCCTCCTCCTCCCCCTCCTCCTCTCCTCACTTCCCTCCTCCTCCTCCTCCTCCCCTCCCTCCCTCCCTCCTCCGGTGGGACGACGAAATGTTGCAAGTTGCTCCTGGCCGCGCACGGCCGCGCCTACATTGCGACGCCACCTCGACAAAACGCCCCCGCCCCCTATTTTTCAATGTTGGCATCGAGCGAGCACCCCAAGTCCGGGAGGACAAAAGAATGCAAGTGAACATTGAAATACGGGGCAAGGGGAGCTCTTCGGATATCGATGGAATATGATCAAAATTGTCATCTTGTTTCTCGGAACGATCATGTAACTTGCGATATGTTGTCCGCCCACTGCGTTTGTCATCCCCCTGCAGGGTGAAGGCTGACGCGGAGGGCGGGGGACTCGGAGAACTGGGGGAAGGATGATGGCGAGGATGATCAAGGGTACAGGGTCGACGTTCGGTCGAAGGTCGACTGCCGAGCTTCGAACAGGGTGCGAGCCGGAGCCGAGCCGCCACTGGACCGAAGGGTTCACGCCTCGCTGATGTCTGAGCTGGACCCAGCTGGTTCGAGTTGGGCTGACCTGGGCGCACCTGCGCAGGGCTGACCTGGACGGGACTGCAATCTATTGAGCTCGGGGGGATTGGGCCGCGCAGACCTGAGCTGGGCTGCGCTGGGCTGCCTCCGCTGCGCAAGCAAAACAGAACAATATATATATATATATATATATATATGTGTATGTTGGGCTTCGCCTTCGCCCGGCGAGCAGCGCCGAGCCCGCGTCGCGCCTGGCCCGCGCCAGGCCGATCGTGGGCCGCGACGAGGACATGCGCGGCCCTCGCTGCGATCGCATCGCCAGGCGCACCCTTGGCTGCGCTGGGCACTGCCCAGGCTTTGTGCCGAACGTCGCCCGGTGCTGGCACGCGGCCGCGCAGCGGGGCAGGGCGCGCCAGGCGACGACGGGGTGGCGGAGCGCGCGCGGCGCCTGCATCTGGCCTATTTGAATACTCCCAGTACATTGGAATACTGTTTGAATACATATTTGAATACCTATTTGAATACCTATTTGAAAACTTCAATTACATGGGGGGAACCGATTTGAAACTTGAAAATAGAAAGAAAGAAAATACATTATTTTTAACTCTACTGTTCGCGCGTAGCAAATGCAAATCCCCATATAACTGCAGTTTTCATATAGGTATTCAAATAGGTATTCAAATAGGTATTCAAATAGCACTGGAGTTTTCAAATGAGGCAAATGCAAGCGCGGCGGGCGCGGGGCCGCCCTGTCGCCGCCCGCTGCTCTGAGCAGGCCACGCGCCAGCATCGCCCAGGCAGAGCCTGCCGCGCCGAGCCCGCGCAAGTCCGCCGCGCGGCCCAGGGGCGGCCGCTCGCGCTCCAGGCGCAGCCCGAGCGCGGCCCTGGCGCCGGCCTGGAAATAGCTGACAGGATGTCAACGTCACTCCGCACCAACTCATGCCCGTCGGGCGCCCACCGCGGATGAGCCGACAGGCCTCGGCTGAGCACGCCAGCGCTTAGATGGGCAAAAGGGCCCTGCGACAGGATGTTTACTCAGGGAAGGCCATTGCGAGCGCGCGTCAAGATCGGCTGCCAGTCGGGGAAAATACAACTCAAGAAATTATACTCATATGGCTGGTGGGCGGCTGGCCCGAAGTCCCGGCGCCCCACCGCGGCGACTGGGCATGAACTTCGCATGTTCCCCGTGTCCTCGGCGGCGGGCCGCCGGCGGAAGGCCGCGTGTTCGCGGCGTCGGCAGCCGCGCGGGGCGCGCAGGGCATCGCTCCTCGAAGTCCTTCCCCTTTCCGCGCTGGAGGGCCTTGCAGCGCTGGCCCATGGACTTCACCAGAGGAGTCAAGATGGCCTCGGGCACGCGCTGGAGAGCCCGCCTGAGGCGCGCCGCGAAATGGGCCCTGGCTTTCCTCTTACAAGGCGAGCACGAGGGCCTCCTGCTGCTTGCGGAGGCGGCGGTTGACGCAACCCCAGAAGCCGCAATTAAACGGGCTGATGTCTGGCGAGCGCCTCGGAAAAAGGCAGCGCCTCGATGGAATTGTCGAACTTTGTCTGCGCTGCGCTCCTGCGCCCCGAAGGAGTCGCTGCCCCCAGAACCGGGAAGCGCTTCTTGCTGGAGTACGCCCGGCGCAGCGCTGGCGACAAGGACTTCGAGTGCTGGGAACTGGGGCTGACGAGGTGCATGATTGTTAGATGCCGTGCACTTCGAGCCATAGAAAAGTATGTGCTTCCATCGGTGGGACGACGAAATGTTGCAAGTTGCTCCTGGCCGCGTACGGCCGCGCCGACATTGCGACGCCACCTAAACAAAACGCCCCCGCCCCCTAAATTTCAATGTTGGCATCGTGCGAGCACCCCAAGTCCGGGAGGACAAAATAATGCAAGTCAACATTGAAATACGGGGGAAGGGGAGCTCCTCGGATATCTATGGAATATGATCAAAATTGTCATCTTGTTTCTCGGAACGATCATATAACTTGCGATATTTTGTCCCGACACTGTCACTCCATCCCCCCCCTCCCTTCCCTCCCTCCCTCCCTCCCTCCCTCCCCTCCCTTCCCATCCCTCCCCGACCTTCCCATTTCCCACCTCCATCCTCCTCTCCTCTCCTCCTTCCTCCTACTCTCCTCCTCCTCCTACCTCCTCACTCCTCCTCCCATCTCCCTCCTCCTACTCTACTATTCCCCCCTACCTCCCTCCTATCCCTCCTCCTCCTCCTACTCCTCCTCACCCCCCCCTCCCTCCTTTATCCTCCTCACTCCTCCTCCTCATCCCTCTCCTTCATCATCCCTCATCCCTACTCCTACTCCTCCTTTCCTCCTCATCTCCTCCTCACCTCCTACTCCCTCCTCTTCTTCTTCATACTCCTGCCTCCTCCTCCTCCTCCTCCTCCTCCTCCTCCTCCATCCCTTGTCCTCATCCCTTGTCCTCATAAGCAGCTCGTCCCCGTCGGACCCCGAGGCCAGTTGGAAGGGCGGCCTGGGCGTTTCGCCCGAGACTTCCTCACCACTTCTGATCCTGAAGCTTGAGACTTGCAACGGCTGCACGGATGGGGGGGCGGATCGTCTTCAGAATGTGACCCTCGCCCTGGCGCATTCGTGGAAGACGCTTGCAGCAGTTTAATGGATTGCGGGCGGGTCATTTTCAGAATGTGGCTCTCGCCT